GTGTGCCTTGGCAGTCTACAGCTCCTCATGGGTACTGCAATTAGTGAAGTGCTTTCCTCCGTGGTGAAACGATCAGCACTGCACCACGGAGGAAAGCGGCAGAAAGTCACCTGGAGATAAAGGGAGCGGGGCTGCGTTGCGTGCATGGCTTCCTTCTGCAGGTAACGGGGAGACGTGCTCTGGCGGCGGTCTCGTTCAGGATCTGAAAATACAATTTAAATATTTTGCACACTTATTCCACTTATTCCTAGTGTGCCACTGGTTACGGTGCCGCGTGCCAATGCTGGCACGCGTGCCAGGGGTTGCGACCCCTGATTTAGATGATTAAAGAGGCAGCTGCTGTTGCTGACAGAAGTTGTGTCCTGAATTCCTGGACCGAAAGACGTGCTGTTGTCAGAGAAAGCACTGCAGTTTATTTACACAGCTTACTATCCGAACTGGAATTCATAGTGTTTGTGCCAAACTAACAACCACATTATAGACACTTACTCACACAGATGCATGTTTAGATCCACTAATGTAGGTAGGGTTCTAAGCATATGGTACTGACGTTTTGCTTAGGAATGCACATATGATCAAATGTGTCTAGTATAGTTTGATTTAAAGGGAGTTCATAGCTGATAGCATGACTTTAGACTCTTATTCTTGTTAAAAAAATAAGTGGTGACTTTCTGACAAATGAGTGCATGTGCCAAGTGGCTGTCAATTTAAAAATGTAGTTTCAAATATTTGATTTTGCGCTTTTAATGTTAATGGAGTGCCATAGTGTGTAAAATATCATCAGCATGGACTGGAAGAGATTTTCATAAATTAAAAAGGGCTGTCTTTCTGTCATTTTGCAAAAGTGCAAGTTCAGTATCCCTGACTGACTGTACTTATTCTACATTTGCCACTACTGTAAGATGGCAGTGTGTTGAGAGTTAAGACTGCGCACCTCTTCCAAGTCCAGAATACAAATCTAAATTGTTGTTGATGTCATTTACGGGCGGTTCCCTTCGTATCAGATCCTTTACTCCTGCTTCATTGTTTGTTGTTCACAATGGTGCAAATATAGTTCAGTTTTAGTCTTTTCTCTTCCTATGTTGGGATTGTTGAGTTCTCCAGGAGCTTGTGTTTTTTCACATCTTTACTCGTATTGTCAGACCCTGCACTATTTCCTGCTCCTCTCGCCTTCTCTCTTGGTATGATTTTTCTACCACTACCAAGTGTCAGTTTCATAAAGACCATGAAATGTACATGGCTCCATTTTTGCCACACTCTGGGACTAACGGAGGAATGGATCCAGCTGGAGAAACGAGCTGAAAGTCCAGCTTTCAGCTATTATCACCCCTCTATAAACCTCCCCTTGTCCCTTGCTTCCCCTCTCCTTTTTTTCTGCCGCTCTTCTTTCTTTTTAACAGATGTATTTTCTCTGTGAGGGTTTTAAGGTCTGTAGCTGAAGTAAAAGCTCTGACAGAGCCAGGACATGGTTTGTATAAAGCCTTAGAGAGCTAAATGTCAATCAAGAGTGTTTTTCTTCCAGCCCAGACACTTGAGGAATTTTGAGGGAGGGCGAGACACTCGGGGAGGGAGGATAGCTGGAGAAAACAGGGTGGTGATGGTGAAAAGAACACTTGTGCTTTCATCATACTGCTTGAATACAAATATTTACCTTTTTTACCACCAAAGTATTGGCTCCTGGACAGTCAAACATAAGATTTCCTGAATGTTCACATCATTAAACTTTATAATATTGCTCTAGTATACTACCGTAATTTTCGGACTATAAGGCGCACCTGAATATAAGCCGCAGCAGCGGCATACCACTCTCGGTTCCACTTTTACTTTTGCGCGCTACCTGTCTCACTCTTTTCCGGCCTCCAGCTTTTCCTGCTGGAACCCGCCGCTTAAAGGTGGGGGTCCGCGGACCGGCCATAGAGCCCATAGAGTTAAAGGTGTTGGCCGTTAGCTGTAAAAATCCATAGATTAGCCGCACCGTTATATAAACCGCAGAGTCGAAAAATAGGGAAAAAGGCGCGGTTTATAGTCCGAAAAGTACGGTATATTAATTTTGTTAGGAAATGACAAGTTAATATATATATTAGATTTATCTTCTAAACTTCAGGTTCCATGCATTGAGAGGACCTGTTTTAGGTGCATGCCAATTTTTAAAGGTACAGGTTGTGACTGATTGAGCAGAGTTTTATGTTCAGTTGTAAAAAATATATCTGGTCCCTGCGTTAACAAACTTCCAACATCTTTCAATGCCTTCAAAAAGTCCTAAGGTGCTCCATACTGTCATTAGATACAAAATGATTGGAGCTAAGTGTGCCGTTAAATGCTTAAATAAGTAGCTAGTCCAAAAGTCAAACACAGGATACTATAAGTGCCATGAGCTTCAGTCAAATCATATTTATTTAATGAACCAATGCTATCTCCTTATTCCCTTCTTTTTTGCAGTCGCCTGGATGCCAACCACATCCTCACAGTACCAGAAGACAGTTTTGAAGGCCTTCAGCAGCTGCGCCACCTTTGGTTGGATGACAACAACCTGACGGAGGTCCCTGTTGTTTCTCTGAGGCACCAGGAGAACCTCCAGGCTCTGACGCTGGCGCTCAACCGCATCGCGTACATACCAGACAACGCCTTCGCCAACCTCACCAGTTTAGTTGTGCTGTAAGTTAAATTGCAATTGTTGTATAAAATTAACTTATTTATTTTTGTTAAGATTATACATTGATCCTTTCTTTATTAGTGGGAGAGATTTCAAAGGCGGAGGGAGAGAGAATGACATGCGTAGAGGGACGGCAGGGTGGAACATCGCTGCATTAGCCGCCATGTTTTTGGCTGGTTGGCTTTTGCCACATCGTCAAGAGCAGTAAAAAAGACAATTGGCTCCAAACCCTCCAGAGCATTCAGCTTGATTACTTTGTGCATTTTACATCACCAGTAAACAAGGCTTATGAAACACCCAGACAAACAACATTTGTACCTTTTTTTATAAGTAGGGACATTGTTAAGCCATTAGTCACTGCAATATTTCCTAAATAGAAAATTAAGGTAATTACATACCATGGCTTTTAATTAATGAAGGCTTTTGGTAAGACGTCATTTCAACCTTCATTATATGAGTAACAAACCGTTTCAGCGTCATTAAGTGAACTGAGCTCCCCCAGGGCTGCCAGGAGAACTTTGCATGCAGTCTTCATAGAGCTATACACTAAATAGCTCAGGAGGAACAACCTGCTGGTGCCCTTTTTTTAAAAGCTTAATCAACCAGGGACACTGAATGAGACCATGCTCCTGTTGACTAAAATGACCTGAGGGAGGAGCTGAAGAAGTGAAGCTCGGCTGGTGTTAAGTACATCAGGAGAGGAAACGTATGCAAATTCTCTGTGTCAATAAAACGGTAATAGATCAATGTCTCTTTAGTTGGTGAGTAATAACTGACTTTGTAGATGACAACCCAGTTCGTAAAATGTGACCGTACTGCTAGTGCTACACTCTAAATGAAATGATCTGTAATTTGTAATCATATGCATAAATCTGTCTCAGCGAAGAGCTTCTCTATGTTTTCTGCTCTAGTTCTGAATGCATCCTGCGAGCGACTGCAAATCAGATTCCAAACACAAAAATACTGTCGTATTTCTTTCTCCACCTTACAGTTGATAAGTCAACAGGACAGGTTGCTACTCATTCCCTGCCGGCTTTTTTGCATGCACGCAATGTTTGCAGTTACATTTGCAATTGAGGTTTGATTTAAAATGTTAAAAATACTTTGAAAAGTTGTTTGAGCATTATTTTAAAACCAAGATATTCTTGATGTAAAATGCTAAAACCTTTCAGAGAGGAACTTGTACAAATAAGTGGTGCATTACGAATCTGTTATACATTCACACTAACACCCACACACACACAGACACACGCACGCTCTGAGTGGTATTGCTGCAGGGTTAGTATAAACACGTCAGTAAACAGGAAGAAAAGACCTTGAATGTAGTAGGTCAGGAAAGCCTTCTGCATACACACACAGCGCACAGACACCGGATTCACAAATCACACTGTGCTTTTTTGGAATTGATTTGTGGAACGTCTGACAAACCCATAATTAATGTTGAAGATTATTTGAAATCCATCATGGAATAAAAAATCTCACAGATGTGCTTTTCCTTTTCCAGACATCTTCATAACAACAGAATTAAGCAGATAGGAGACAACTGTTTTGCCGGTCTTGTGAACCTGGAGACGCTGTAAGTGCGCAATTATACAGTAGTTAATACGTGTGTCTGTGTGTGTGTGTGTTTGTATCAATGTGTTTGTGCTCATGTTTATGTGTGCTAACAGCCCCCCCACCCACCTCTGCTCCGGTCCTCCAGACATCATTGTGTCCACTTCCTCCTTTAATTGCTCTAGGATAAATAGAGCAAAGTACATGATGCTTATCAAATATACCCTCCCACTGTTCACTTCCTCCTGTCACACAGCCATGAAAAATGTTTTAGTGCCAGCCTTCCCTAATGGCGTTTACTGTACAACACAGGATCTTAACAGGATACGAAAGAAGTCCTCTTATTTTTTTGCTTCTTAATGTCAATCTCTCACTTTAAAGTGCAGTTTATTTCCTACATAAGAACACACTACAATGGACCCTTGAACACACAAGGTCTATATTAAAATGTATGTGTCTGGTGTGTAATGGTGTTTTGTATTATATCTGTGAAGAGAAGGGGTTGAGCTGGAGGAGCAATGGGAGTGGGGGGGAGAGGGGTTGTCTGGTGCCTTGCTCGAGGGCGCCACGGCAGGCCCCAGGAGGTGAACTGGGACCTCTCCAAGTAGCAGTCCACACTCCATATTTAGGTCTGTTCGGGGACTTGAACCGGCGACCCTACGGCTCACAGTCCAAGCCCCTACTGACTGAGCCACTGCCGAAATGTATTTAGTTTTATGTAATTTATCAAGCATTTGGCCGTTTCTGTTTCATCAAATGTGAGGATTTGCTGCTTTTCTCGTTTCCCCGTACCTTGAAAAGATTGAAGTATGGGACAATATGAGGAAAATATATATTCGATGCAACCCTTGCTCTTTGGTTTAGTTCCTTACACTATAGAGTGATAGAAATTAAATTCAGACTTAAAAGTCTGTTTATAACTGTTATTACACTGGGCTTAGATTCCCATAAAGCAATGGAAAAGGGATAAGATATTAGAGTTACTGTATGTATTACAGGACAGTCAGTTATTTCAAAGTTATTGCTTCTAAAAAGGTAGATTATTCAGAACCATTGGCAAATCCAATATTGTTTTTAGGATTATTACAATGAGAGTTATCCTAGTCATTAATAAGTAGCGTGCTTGTTGCTTTCACAGAGAGAACCAGATAATGTAGCACTCCTTTTAGCAATGCTTAGTCACAGTATAGAAGTAAGTGGGATGGATTGTTACATCATAATATAAGAAACCAGGGCTGACTTCCTGCTTCTCTCTCCGTCTCATCATAGAGATCTTAACTTCAACAACCTGATGGTTTTTCCCAAAGCTATAGAGGCCCTGCCCAAACTGAAGGAACTGTGAGTATATCATCCTGCTTCTTTTCTGTGAGGGAAACATGTTATACTTGTTATGACCAGTTAACTCATCAGAGCATAAAGAACACTTTTTAATACCTTTGTATTTTTTATGTTGTGAAAATAACCTTCCCTCCTCTTCTGAGCCAGTGAATTCATACACTTACACAAGTTGTGTGGTTTAAAAGTCCATACTCGCATACATATCTAGTGAATGTGATCAATACATACTGATAGATTTGCTGAAGTCTTTTGCAACATATTTGCTTTTATTCTGAAAGCTACAAGCCCAAATAATTTCCTGTTTCAGGCTAAGCACTTGTATTGTTTAATAAAATGATTATATCTATTAAACTCATTGACAGATTTCTGTATTGGAAACTAAGAGTTGCATTTTGTCTGCAGAACTGTGTGGCTTTTGCATCAATGCTTTTAGTATCCATATGTTTGGTTATGCATAATGTGACCTTGACATTTTCCTTGCAGCGGGTTTCACAGCAACGATATTGCTGCCATACCTGAAGGGGCCTTCCATAACAACCCCCTGCTGCGCACCATGTAAGTTCAAACTCACCGACACCACTTAGAAGCTCACATAGCACAGTAATGACTCACATTTGTACAAGTGCTCCCATGCACAATGCACAGCATGCTTCCTGAAAGGCGCAGTTACAGTCTGAGCTGACAGCGCGAGTCTTCAGAAGACGAATGTCCAGAAGATGGTGCCATTCTCGCATAGTAAATTATTTTGGTTTTGAACTCTCCCCCTCTGCTCTTGCTGCCCTCACAGACACCTTTACGACAACCCCCTGTCCTTGGTGGGCGCCTCGGCTTTCCAGAATCTGTCCGACCTGCACTCCCTGTAAGTCGTGACACATCAGTGTTAACAAGTACTTTTTACTCCTTGGTGACTGACACATTTAATAATGTGACTTTATTTATTCCAAAGAGTACTTTTTAATCTATTCTCACTCATGCTTTGATGTAGCTGACTGTGATCTTACAATGTGTTACCGTATGTGTTTCAGGATGCTGCGCGGGGCCAGCATGATGCAGGACTTCCCCATCCTTACGTCGACTAATAACCTTGAGAGTCTGTGAGTAAACTTGTATGCAGCATCGGTTCATGCTTGTGCTTTAGTGCGTCTCCTGGGTGACTGATTCTAGATTTTATTTCCAGGACCCTGTCGGGAACCAAGATATCTTCCATCCCTGCTAATCTTTGCGAGGACCTCAAGCTGCTCCAGACGCTGTAAGAGACTTTTCCTCTCCTGCCACCTGCAGTATCGCCTAAAATATATTTTCTACAAAACACTCTACCTGCTGTTCATTTGTTATCATTATGAACTCACCAGGACAGTCAGATACTATGGTTTAACCTTGCTGTCACAGAATTTGGATTCCCATACACTTAAAAAATGTGGTGCTCTAGAGAAGTGATCACACTGAAGTATAGGGGCCTTTCTCATTTTAAATAGTCCCAGTTATCTAATTGTTTGTTTTCCTCCATCAGAGACTTGTCCTACAATGAGATCAAGGAGCTGCCTTCCCTGCAGAGCTGCATCCGGCTGCAGGAGATGTGAGTGTTGAACATGTAGCTGTCACTTCACATATATCAAAATCTTAGAAGACATTTTTAAAACAATTGAAGTAACAAAGGTAATCGTGAGCTTGTTTTTAATCTGTTCAAATTCTGTTTTCAATCCACAGAAGCTTTCAGCACAACCGCATTGACCAACTTGACAGGGACACTTTCCAAGGTCTCTCTGCTCTCCGTTTGCTGTAAGTCCACTCAGTCACACACTCGTTTGCACACAGACAAATATTAGTTTTGTATGCCTGGTTGACTGTGTTGTTATTCTACACAGAGACCTGAGCAGAAATGATATCCGAGTCATCCACAGAGATGCTTTCCTTTCCCTCGCTGCACTCACCAACCTGTGAGTGTGACCTGTAGTATTATTTGATCACCTCCTGTCATCATTATGAGTACAGACCACAAATCATCGCCTGGTTTGATTGTTCTTGTTGAACAGAATAAAATGTCTTGTGTACAATCTTTTTTCCTTTTTGTTTTTCTCAGAGATCTGAGTATGAACTCTCTGTCTGTGATTCCTACCACGGGACTGAGTGCGCTCAGTCAGTTGAAACTCTCAGGAAACCCGGAAATGAAAAATGTGCTGAAAGCAAAAAACCTGCCAAAGCTGAGGTGAGGAAGAGCTTCTCTGTTCGCTATCAAGTTCTGTTAGTTGTGTCTCGTGTTTGCTGCTGAATTTGATATTAAAATGTATCAATTTCAATTCCTGCAGACCTTAGTTGCATATGGTTCCCACATTTTACCTCCTTGTTTTTGGCAATACAGGCACAAAATTACCTAACAATTACTTTACAAATATTTGAAAGCAATGTGATATGTTGAAAGTTAAACAAAAATCAATTCATATTGCAATACGTTTATCAAAATAATCAAATAAAAGATCTACACGTGCTGGGTACAGGATTGTAAAAATGTGTTATCAAAAAAGAAGGATCACATCTTTACAGGACATGGCCCATACACAGGTAAGGCCAATTTCTAAAGACTGCTTTTCCTGCCATCAACCTTTTTATAAAACTTATATGAAATAAATGTTCCTCTATTTCTGTATTATGTATATATGTTTTGTTCCTCCGTGATCATAACAATGTTGGAGTCTGTAGAGTACTGAATCTTAAACAAACTTGCTGCACAAACTCAAACTAAGCAGTTGAGTTGTTGATGAACAATACAGCAGATGAACTGGACCCTCGCCAATGGTAACTTTGGACATAAAATAAATTGGAGTAATCCAAAAAAGTAAACAAAAAGAGCAGAACAACATTCAAATATTACTAATGAAACCTATAAAAAGAGACAAATATTTGCTGTCAAACACTTCATTTATGTTTCCCCTAATAAGGTATTAAAAGACCTCAGCAGGATGCTAACAGGTTTTCTTGATGATCATTGTTTGTTTGCAGGTCGATCTCTGTCCCTTATGCCTACCAGTGCTGTGCATTCGTCGGATGTGACTCCATGACGAGTTCTTCTGAGGAAAATGACCTAAAGAAATCAGCAGGTAGGACAGCTGCACTCCTGCGCTTTTCCCCTGGAAGAGTTGATATGTTACCTTTTTTGTTTTGTTTACATTAAAGCATCTAAAAATATCAACAAAGAGTTTGATATGAGCCTCAAGGCATATGAGCATACACATAACATTCTTTCCTCCCAGACACCGGTTCAACGGTTTTGGGGAGGACATATTTACATTTCTTTATTTTCAAGGAAAACTTGCATTTTATAGCATTACTGTACATCCTTAAACTACACAATCATTTGTCAAAGTTAGAGACCTGCCATTGACTTCATTTATTTGCTTTAAATGTAGTTATTTTAATATAAATAAAGAACGTTTACAACAACTGTAATTATTACTATTTAAGTTTAACAGAACTGAAGCTGATGGTTATATAGCAGAAACAAGAATCTGGAAACCTCACGAGCAAGTGTCACCCCGCTGCTCTATACAACTGACTACTTTTTTGTTCTTATATTTATTTGTTTTTTTTTAGGCGGGGAGGATGTGGAAAGAATGTCAATGATTATGCATTGCTCTCCTTCTCCAGGTAAGAATCAAACCGCTTTTTATTGTGTCAGTAAATCAAGGCGGGAGGAGCATTTCAATAATCTAGAACATTTTAAATGAACTTAAGCAACCAACTAATGTCCGTCTCCAGGAGCCTTCAAGCCTTGTGAGCACCTGCTGGGTAACTGGATGATCCGCCTGACGGTGTGGTTCATCTGCCTGGTGTCGCTGGTGTTCAACAGCCTGGTGCTGGTGGCCACCTTCGCCCCCACCCACCACGCTGCAGGCCACTCCCCCTCCCTCTCCCCCGCCCGGCTGCTGATGGGGCTGCTGGCCCTGGCCAACCTGCTCACAGGTCTGTACGTCGGCGTGCTGACTGTGCTCGACGTGGCCACCTGGGGCTCGTTTGCTGAGTTCGGGGTATGGTGGGAGATGGGGCCCGGCTGTCAGGTCACAGGAGCCATGGCCGTCTTCTCCTCGGAGTGGGCGGTGCTGTTACTCTCGCTGGCAGCCGTTGAGCGCAGTGTGGCCGTGCGGACGATTCTCGGGAAGGTGTTGATGTCACCCAGGAGGGGCGGCAGCCGGCGGGGGTGCTGGAGAGGGGATCGGCGCTTCAGTCTTGCTGCGGGCCTCCTGGGGCTGCTGGCTGCTGCCGGGGCCTGCCTGCCTCTCCTGACCTCCGGGGACCCCTCCTCCTCTCCTCTCTGCCTGCCCTTCGCCGGCGGAGAGAGTCCAGCTCTGAGTGTCACAGTGGTTCTGGTGCTGCTCAATGCGCTGGCCTACCTGTTCACTGCAGCGGTGTACACCCAGCTGTACTGCCACCTGGGCCGGGTGGAGCTGGCAGACCCGGAGCAGACGGGCGCCCTGCGACACGTAGCATGGCTCATCTTCACCAACTGCATCTTCTTCTGTCCCGTGGCAGCTTTCTCCTTCGCCCCTCTCTTGACTGGCTCTACAGCCGGCGGTCCAGAGATCGCCAAGTCCGTCACCCTCATTTTCTTCCCTCTGCCGGCGTGTCTGAACCCAGTGCTGTACGTGTTCTTCAGCCCGGCCTTCAGGGAGGACTGGCTGAGGCTACGGGGTCGCGGAGGATCGAGCAGGGAAGTAAAGGCTGGGGCCGAGAGTCACGGAGATGACGGGGGCGGAGGGTCGGAGATCACAGACGGCGGCTCCTCCACCCACCTGGACTTTGACTGTGGGGTGTACTCGCAGCTCTGTGGAGAGACAGTTGTGTGCGAGCAGTGCGAGGCGGCGCTGCATGCCAGGACCTGCTCGTCCCCGTCGTCCTCCACAGTGTGCAGACACTTTATGAAGTCTCACAGCTGTCCCACCCTGCTGGCGGGAGCTGCAATGTGCCAGCGCGCTGAGGGGTTTTGGGCAGACAGCGGCACCCCCTCCGCTCAGTCTGAGTACGCAGACGAGGGAGACTCGTTCGTGTCGGACAGCTCTGAGCAGGTTCAGGCGTGCGGCAGAGCGTGTTTCTGTCAGAGCAGAGGCCTCCCTCTGGTACACTACTCATACAACATACCTCGAGTCAAGGACTAACACGCTGCAGAGCTCCAGTTTGTCTGTGTGCACAGATCTCTCCGTCATGTGAATTAAGATGCTTCAACAATATATAAACATTTTTATATCAAGCAATGAAATGTGCCAACTACCCTGCTAAAAGACCATTCAGAGAGCACTTATGTTTTGAATTACTGTGTAAACAGAGATGCAACCAATCATTTAAAGGGAACTTGGAGACTTTTTCTAAGTGAGCTGAACGGAGCACATCAAGTTAAAAAAACTGGTCGACAAAGGATCTCCAAAGGAAAGTCTTGCCACCAGTGCCTGCCTCGTGCTTTCCATTGGATCTCATAATGTTGCGAGTCTCAATGTATGTGTCAAAGATGTTTGTGATTTCTCTGTTCTACGTGTAATTATAAGCTTTTTTCAATTTTAATTGTAACACATTTTGTCAATTTTAAAAGCTTCTCCACAGCAACTGTTGATTTTATACCTTGATTTTCTTTTTTACGTAAATGTAGCAAATGTAATAATCATCCTAGAGTTCAGAGTGAATGTAACTTTCAGGTGGGCTTCACCTGCCAGATGGGGATAATGTAACGTCAGCAATAACTTGTGCCCTGCCTGTGATCGTTATCTGGTATAAGTTAATACCAGTCTATAATGAACACGTCTTTGAGTTAAGTTACCAAGACTAAGAATGTCATAATTAGCAGAAATCACTGTTATAGCGCCCGCTATGCTTGGTGGTGGTGAAAGGTGTTATTTATTGTTTGAGCAGCAGGAGGGTGAAGGTGATTTCAGGTGGCCTTTGAATATAACCCAAGCATTCACCAAAACAACAGCACTTCTCTTTGTTTAACTCCTCAAAAACACTAACAAGTCCATTCATACAGGTTGAGATCATTAAAGTCAGTAGTCCGGAGGATTATTCCGGTTATTTTAAAATCTGGAACTTATTTTCCGAGTTTTTATCATCATGCTGTTTAACTTGGATCAAACTTTTTTTTGTTCTTAAGTTGCAGACGCACATTTTATATTTGTCATTGGACCAAGAGACACATCAAGCCCAACAAACATTTTCTTTTGAATACAGCAACACTGAAATGATTCAATAAGACCTGCTTTAATCTGATCTTCAAATTTCCTTTGGTTGTCAGAACAATTGTTGACTCATTGCCTTGTTAAATACAGTTTATTTAATAAGAAAATGTACTGATTCGCTCTTTTACTGAGCACAAGATGAGAAAGTCATTATCATATATCTTAATGCGTAATATTAAGTTACAGCCAGCAGCTGTTTTCATTGATTTTGCTAAGCTAAGCTAAGCTAACTGGCTACTGGCCTTGGATCCACACAGGTATGAGAGTGGTATCCTTTTTCTTATGTAACTGTGCAAAGAATAATTCCCCCCAAATGTCATAATAGCAAAAGGTCAACTTGTTTTTATTTACTCTATTTGTCGAGTAAACTATTGACTATTTGTAAATAAATGTGTTGACCAAAACTCAATAAACAGTAAATTAAAACTTAAATCAACCGTATTCACACAGTTATAACTCATTTGAAGAGTGATAGCTAACATAAACTTCTGGTTGATTTTTTTAAACATGTCATTAAACATAATTTGGTTTGGGAGCGACAAGTTAAACACATGAATACCGTCCAAGTTAAACACGTGAATGTAATCCCACTCTTCTAACATGATGTAAGACTGGCAGCTGAGTCAACAACTGCGTGTGTGAGCTGTGGCCATATGTACAAAGTGGATTATTAAAAGTGCATTGTGGGTGAGTATTATTTAACCACAGGTAATCAAAGAAACGTATCTATAGTCTGGATTTATTTTCCAAGTGATTGGCAACAATTTGGCCAGAATAATTTTGATTTTTTTTTTAAACGTATTCATTGCCTCCGGTGTGTTTCCAATCCAGTGACATTATACAGACTTACTGTTTGTTCAGATCAGTCGGTATTATTGTAGATGTCATGAAAAGAGCATTATTATACTGTAAAGGATATAACCGTAGATATCTTCTGGCCCTGAGAGCTGGCCTGAGTGAGGCTGTGTGTGACGAGGGATGGACTGATGTTTGGTGTGCTGGAGCATGACTGTACACATTAAAGCTGGATACACCCAGAGCGTGTTTCCACAAGTGCACGTCATGTGAGTGCTCAGGAATTTAGGCAATGTAGGCAAACGTTTCCTCCAACAAGACATTCTTGTGTCCTTATAATGCACCATTTCATTTTTATCTTCTGAGTTTTATTTTATTTTTGTCTCGACCGGGTGTGTCAATTATTGCACCAACCAAAATGTCTTTTGATTGTTTGAGATGTCCCATCTGGTGAAAATGTACAAATCTTTTTAGTAGGTTGGTTATTGTTTTTTTATTTTCTATTTCTATGTAAATTATTTGAAAAGAAAAGGCGTAATCAAGAATGGGATGCTAACTAAGGAAGCTACCTCCTCGGCTGTAGTGGCTACCAGCAGTGCTTTGTAAAAGAAAAGTCTTTTTTTTAACTGTTTTATTTTTGTTTGCATTTTTAGCTTTATGTTGACAGGTGGTTGTACATCATCAATTTAGATAAGTGCACATTTTGGGAGGAATCATGTACTGTATACTGTGATTTATTTTTTTAACCAAACTATAAACTATGAATTGTTTTTGTTTTATCTTTTATAGAGACAAATTTGCAGAATAATACAGATTATAATAAAATGAATCTCACTTATTTTCCATTCAAATTAAAATCGTATCTGTAGTTTTATCATGTAAGTCCTACCCAAGTTCATAGATGCTGTTCAAGTAGGAAAAGAATCATATCAATTGTGAATGAATAAAATTGGAAGAACAGAACCCTTTTCATTCCACTTTTTGTTAAAATTAAAACACTGCAGCAACCACTGTATTTTTCCGATAATGTATTATATTTGAATTATTCTACTTTCACCTTGTTTCAAACGTATTTGGTCATATCAGACCTTTTTCTCTAATGCAGCTTTGCCACTTTTAAGTCTTTTTAAGGTGAACCTAATTCCTGCTAAACATCAACATATAAGCAACATTGTGAGCATGTTTGCAGAATGACATTAAGTGGTGAATAGTAATTAGTAGTAGTTACATTTATTCAAAAGAAATGTGTGAAACATAAGAATTTCCTCTGTACTTTTGCGCCACTAATATTTATTTGACTTCTTTATTTACTAGTTTCTTTTGCAGATTTATGCATAAAGACTTGTAAACAAAGTATTTAATTACTGTGCTATTGCTACTCATATGCAATCCTAATAAGTCAAAACGTTATTAAGTTGTAGTGGCCCAAGCAGTCCTGATTTTACGGGTGACATATTCTGACCTTTCCAGGCATGTTAAGATGTAAAAGACTATTGTTTTCCTTCAGTGGAGTTTCCTTTCACCTGCAGTCCTGTTGTCCGGCTCCCTTCCCCCGCGTCAGAGCTGAGACTTGGTGATGAGTGAAAAATGACCTCTGGGTTTGTATAAAGAAACAGAAATGAATTTGACAAGACCTGTTTATCTTTGAACCGTGAGGCCCTTTCACTTTTAATTTGCGGATTTTGGTGAAACCCAGTGTCAAAACACCTGGCAAGCGTAGGCGCTGTAAGGCATTCGTCATGTATGTTAATAGTGGCCCGGTGACATGTACAAAGGCTCGCTGGATCCTTCGCAGCTGTATGTTGAGAGGGCACAGGAAATATTTACATTGAAGGCATCAAAGGAGTAACTGTTGAGTGATGGTTCAGCAGCTCCCTCCCACTCAGTGAACGCCGCCATGTGTTCCTCTTAACTCACACATGTCTCAGAAGTAAAAGGACATCAGAGCTATTCCAGCCCTTCACATTCATCCCTCTGTGGCGTGCACATTAGGCACATGCCTCACACCTCTGGCTTTAGAGGGGCTTTGTTACTATAAAACTAATCCCTCAACAACCCTGTGTCCATTCCTCTGGACTTTTATCAGTGGCATGCTTTTTGGATTTCCTGAATACCACAGCCACCTATCGTCAAAGCAGTTTCTGGGAACTGGCCTTCACTTGTTCACCATTGCTGATAACACTGTAGCATAATGCCCCTATGTGATAGCAAGGCAATAAATAACTCACTATTGTGTTTTTAAGCATTTATATTTAGCTTTGTAAGCACACAAAAAATTCCAAACAAACACTATAATCAATTTAAGCTGAAATACTGGAGCAACAACATCACAAATCCTGAATGAAATAGATAAATATTGCAACCTTCTTTGACTTGCTATTTTGTATTATGCTAGGACACCATTATCCATTCTTCTTAAAGTAAGTGTATAATTCAGTAATCCAGTGGTAGTCATCATACTAACACAACAGTAAGTATGACGGGATGATTCCAGAAGAGGAGAGACTTTTGTGATGTAGGGGAAAAACAGCATGCAGGAGACAAATCCATCTTCTTTCAGTCAGCAGCTCAGTCCTCTTTCTTATTTTCCTCTTTAGGAACTTGAGCTGCAAGCCAGGAACATAATTTAAGATACAGAGGCCTCAATACGTTTTATAAAGAAAATACATATATTTGGCTCTTCAGCAGCAAAATGCATCACCATGTGCACCAGCAAGTCACTACATGTTTGTCTGCTGTTTCATGTAAAGGAGCTATATCGATTATACACACTAAAGACTTTGAACATGTTATACTACATCAAAACAAGTAAAGTTAAACCTTACAAAAGTGTATCTCGGTAGGATATGCTAAGAAGAGGTTGATATCAGAAAGTTGTCTTTACACGATGATTTGACAAATCCTTAAAGCTTTGAGTAGCACAGCAGTGGGTGAGGTTTGGTCTTAAGCATGAGGAGACAAAACATCACGTCAGTAAAGTGTGAGAGTTAAAAGAAGGTGGGAGTAGCTCATTTAGACTAGATGGATCATCCTTTTCAGATCTAATTAAATCCTTAAAATGTGTTCATAAATACATGTAAATAATGCTAATATTGGGATTTTTAACAGTTTGTTGTTACCATAGATACTGTTGTATAATGTAGATTCCTATTCTTTTAACATTTCATCTCACAGGTCACTGATTTCCCAATATTTTCCTAGAATTTATCTCTGAAAGAACTACGTAATTGGCATTAGGAGCAGGGCCGGCCCTGACCAATTTGCTGCCCTAGGCAATATTTGCCCCAAGTTCTATATTTAGCACATTTTGTACAAACTGAACAAATATCCAATGAGATAGTCACAAAAGATTGGTGGTTGAAGATTTCATGAACATCTAATATCTTACTTACTTACATTCTTACTTTTACACTAAGACATGTTTTCTTTATAACAGACTGACATTATTTTATATGGACTTGCACGATATAATATATTTTCTGATGAAAAGGAGTGTGGGGAAAAGGATTTATTATTTAAGTGGGTCATGAAAAAAGGGCACATGCGTTCCTGTTTCTGTATCACCGGCAGAATACTTACAGCGGACCTCCAGTTTACACTCCACTATATCTTCTCCGCTGTCGTTGACTGCTCTGCACATATACACCCCCCCGTCAAACGTGCAGGGCTTACGGATCTCCAGCGTCAGAACACCTTGTCTGCAGAGCATCCTGTACTTGGCTTCATTGGAGATGTCCATCTTGTTTTTGAACCAGGTCACTTTGGGCTAAGGAAGGAACAAGTTACACTAACTAAAATATCAGATGATACGGTAGCAATCACAATCGCTGGGTTTATCTGGTGGATACAGTTTCAATGAAGATAAATGGTTAATTGCTTGCTACTAAACCCAAACAATGAGGGGGGGGGTGTGTTTGTTTATGTGTCAGATGGTGAAGGTATTGGTTTCTGTTGGTCTCAGTAAACTTCCCTTCGCTTTTACTTAGTAACTTTGTATATTTTTTATGATAAAACATTTTCAAGAGTTCAAATTATTTCTTGGCTCTCAACTGTGTGGTTGAAAAGTCCAAACAAAGCTGCTATGTGGTCCTTGAGTTTAAGTAACCTTGGACAACTATTTCCAGCCCTGTTTTCATTTGACATGATTCTAGTTTATAAGTGTGATTAGATCTGTTATTTAATCTGATAACATACACCCATTGGTTATTTTGTGATGAGCTGACCGACCTTGGGTGAGCCTCTGACGGAGCAGCTGAGGGTGGTGCTGTATCCTGCGATGATGGACCGGTTCACCAGTGGATGTGTGAACTTGGGAGCCTGCGAGAAGTCATGATCCTTGTAGCTGGGCGGCTTGTACTCCATAGCTGAGTAGAGCGACAGACAATTTGGTATTGTTATCTTCACAATAAACAGTACAAACGTTAGTGCTTTAACTTAAAATAACATAACTCAATTGAACTGCTTTGTACTGATAATATACAGTATGTGCCGTCAGAGCGCACCTGTTTTCTGGATGTAAGCGCTGTCTGTCGTGTTGCACGGCTCCAGGCTGAGGCCCACCTGGTTGATAGCAAAGGCTCTGAAGACGTACTCATTCCCCATGATGAGGTCAGACGCAACGCAGTTGGTTCGCCTGTATTGCTCGTAGACTGTAAACCACTCCTTTATGTGAAAAAAAAGGAGGATTCAGTTTTTAAATTCTCAATATTTGTGTCATTAAATAACGGATGATGCAGATACAATGTAAACAATGAGGATATTTGACAATTTGGCTGGCTTGTGCTGCAGTCACTTTAAACTAAATACAGTGTGATAAAAAAGAGTGAGAGTGATGTTGAGCTGAGTGGGGAGAATTCAATAGGAAATGACATGTATCTATTTAGGTACACAGATGAAAAATGACATGGGTAGATTGAAACATCTAACAGGTACACAGTGCATCGTTATTGGTAACATGATAATCAGCATCCCAAAGCATGCAAGCGAAATTAATTTGATCTAATAATGACTACAGTGAAACATGAACCATCAGCTGAGTGGCCAGAGAACAAGGCCCCGCGTCACCCTACAGACAATCCGCTCCAGGTCAAGGCTGCAAGGATAAGATTAGGACATTCCTGTCCGACATCGTTCCTGGCAGCGCGAGGTGCAAGGCGGTGCCAGTTAGAAGTGTTGCCAACGGGCCCATAATGCACCTCTCCTGGCCCACAGTGAAGACTGTGTGCTCAGCATTGGCTGATTACTGTTTATGTGTCAGAAGGGCGGCGAAAATATCTCTCTGTGTCCGTGCAGCATTCATCATCACACATGTACAGACACACACATTCATGTCAATGGAAAGGGAGGTTTGCAAATTGTGGCTTCATGGCAACCAAGCGGTTGCGGTTGTCGATTAAAACTAAAGGGCCAGCAATGGACCAGTGAACAAAAACATGAATAGCTTTTCTCCTGAGAAGACCTCAGCAAGTCATATTTTGCACTTGGTTTTTACAAACTATGACCTGACCTTAGACTGGAGTTATACTATGTTCATGTTACTTTTAATTTAGTCAGGTTGGGAACTGGCAATATGTCTTAAACCCAAAAGAACCATAGCGGAGCATCTGTATCATTAACAAGTTAAAAACATTACTAAGCACTCAAATGCTTATGCTCATTATTTGGATTGTAACTCTTAAAATTAGCAAAAAAGATTAAACTACATTGGGTTCAGGTATGTTTTGAATCCAATTTGGGTGTTGTAAGCTTTGCTGTAAGCTTTGCTGTAAGAAAGCGAACGTGAAGAGTCTCACCATGGTCTTCTTGTCAGCTTTCTGAATGGTGTAACCACTGATTTCACAGTTACCGTTGTCCTTCGGGGGCTTCCACTCCAGGGCCACGTTGAAGCCCCAGACATCTGTGATCTTCAGAGCTTCCGGGGCCCCTGGGAGATCTACAGAGGAGATCATGAATTGTGAGTAACGGTCACCAACAGATTTTGTATATATTCCCAATAACAAAACCCACAGACAGCTTTCCATGTGCTCAGTCCTGCTTACCCACAACCTGCAGTGTGATACTGGCTTTGTCTTCTACATTTTCAATCTGCACCTGGAGATCATACTTCCCCGAATGTGTTCTCTCTGTCTTGCGGATGAAGAGGATGGTATCCACTTCACTGTTCCTCACACTGGCGAATGTAGGACTCAGAGGCTCCCCGTCTTTGCTCCAAATGACCTTTGGCCTGGGCTTACCCTGTAAGACGAGAATAACAGTCTTAATGTCCTCCTTTGGTTATTTGAAGTCAACCATCCCAAATACAATAAGATATCTTCTTGGCATCACATTTACAAACAAAACCAAATTAAAGAAACACATTAACACGTTATTTGTGCACCCACATCATTTAAGTTATTATATGCATATACATCATTTAGAATAAATAGAAAATAGCTGAATAACAAAAATACTTCATTTTAATCAACATTTTTTCAAATGGTCTTTACTTTTCTTAACGTTATAAGTAAAGCATCTCGCAATTTGAATGATGGTTTTGAGAAGGTTTATACTGCCTACTGCACCTGAAATTTGATCATAAGGTTAACAGTCTCTCCAACTGTCTTGACGAAAGTCTGACGCAGATTTCTGGGGATCATAATTCTAGGACGTTCTGAGAAAGAAAAAAACACAGCAAAATGTAAGGCGGGAATGAATAACGAAAGAAGATCAAGACTCTAGGATGAGTTTAATTTAGGAAAGATATTTAGCTATATGATGCGTATTGGTAGACAGAAAGATGTCACAGTTACTCCTATCTGAAAACACTGACGCATTATCTCTCTGATGGTAACAGGCTGGGCCAGAGTGGAGGCAGCGCTCGGCCCCGCCATGTTGAAGGCCCGCACACGGAACTGCAGCTTGTCTCCGGTGGTGAGATCTCTGATCATCAATGACGTCCGGTCAGTCAGACCCTGAATGGCTGGTATCCATTCATCCGCTGTGATAGAAAGCAACAACAGAAAAAACTGTTCATAACAGCAAATGAAATCCACACCATTTATACCTTTAATGCCAGTCATTACAAAGGTTAATGTGATCATATAATCATTCTGCTGTCGGCCTAGAAGCATCCCTAAAGCCAAATGAATTGCAAGAAAGTGAGCTTATCTATTCATCTAAACTGACATGTTAAAAGAAGCATGAAAACGTTAATGCCTCTAGAATTAAATTTTGCCTGACTGGCTGCTCTTAGCTAACAGATTCTGAAGTCTAACATTAATTAATTAACTTTGTTTACATGTTGCAAATAGGCTAAACTGTCTGGAGGGGTGACTGGGGTTGTGTGAGAGGTTATGCGTTTTAATAAACTGATCCAGATTTTTTTTTTAGTTTGATTATTTAAAAGACATATTTTATGTATTATGTCTGTTCTTTATTAGGAACCTGTTGGTAAAGACACAGAGTTTAGACAATTAGATGGTATCCTTACTGACTATAGATTTTGATAATCTGTCCTGTGTGGGCTGTTTCAACATTATACTGGGATTAATTGCTGGTGTAAAGTATAAAAACTTTGATGATAAAAAAAAAAAAACTCCTTATCAAAAGCATGCAGGTGGTTGGCTCCAGCACTTACTGCCCTCCTTGCAGTACTCAACCCCATAACCCTTGAGTTCAACGGAGCCGATCCTCTCAGGCGGACGCCACTTCAGCGAGATAGTAGTGTCACTGATGTCGTCCACGCACAGTCCGATGGGCTCACTTGTTGGTGCTGAGAGTCAGACAGAAGACAGATAAATGTCTCTGTTAGTCACTAACAGCATTAGGGAAATGCTTTCAGGATGAATTACTGAACAGGTGGACAAACCTGATTAGGAATGAGCAAATTATGTTAAGTAACAAAGCATTTTGTGATGGCTCCTTAGTACTTACCTTCAGGCAACAGAAAAGATAATTGAACTTAGAGTGACGTAAATGAGGACAGATGAAATCTAACAATAGACTGCTTGATCTTGACAACCGTCCTAATTCATATAAAAGAAGAGATGACATCAATTTCATTATCAGAGATGTTTGGTTGTGTTATCAGTCTAATAGCATGTAAGCCTGCGTACGTCATCCCGGGAAAGATGAGCTGTCTGACCGACCTGCAGTCCACAGCAGGGCCGAAGTCTGAGTGGCTGCTGCGCTTTCCGTCTCATAGTGGACAAATGACATGATTTAAGTTTACTTTGGTTTATCAGCCACTTCCCAAGCATTGCTTTCACCAAAAAAGTGCCAAAAACAAACAACCAGTGTCACAAAATAAGTTTGCTGCATAGACTGAGATGCCTTGTTGTAAAGATATAAAAAGAAAATAAATATATATATAGAATATTATTATCACCACATTATTTAGCATTCGGATGTAGGACCAAGCTTAATTATGTGTATTGTGAAACTGTAGGGGGTCAGCTGTAATTATGGAGGGGGAGAAAGGACATATCATTGCCTTCAAGAGATGAATTATGGTTGTGGATTATTATTTATAATAATGAGAAACATTTCTACTAGTTTTAAATTAATAAATAAATAATTACTAAAAATATATTATACCAGTGATCAATCATATCAAACACAGTCCATGCAATGGGGCTACTTAAACTTCTGGTTTACCGGATTTCACCAATTTTGTTCAAAATGTCGCTGCCTGTGCATCCCAAGTTCACAATACCAACTACTAATGCTTGAAGTTTGATGATTCAGGGCAGGTAACAAACACGTACAACAACTAGTTGTGCATGGTGAAGGGTGCTAGTAAAGATTCCTCCAAAATTGCTTCAGTTGGCAACACTTCCAAGGTAATATTTAGTCAACCACATCATTTCCATGTTCTTGCAAATACTTGATGACAAGATGTGGTCTTACTGTAGGTGATGATTTCTAGTTGTGGACTTGTTTTGACTAAGGCCAGGAATTCATGTCACAGGGCACAGGTTAAGTATTCAGTGCCAGCCAACGACGGGAACATCAATCAAAGGTCAAGTGTTTCCATGTTTGTTAAATTCACAGAAGGAGAGACTATTTTAAAAGTAGCTCAGGAAGGACAAAAAGTGCAGGGCAAAACAACTCATTCAGATATGTTTTAAAGGAAATCATCTACAGCGTGATGACTATACCTGGCTTATCAATGTCAAACACATACACTGCTGAAAAATGAGGGGCTGGGATATACATGTCCCATTGCTGTCACACAAAAACATTCCAAATGCTACATGAATATCTAAATCTCAGAGTAAATAATCCTACTACCAACAGGTTGTAGCTCTATCTCTGGCTCAGCAGCAGGAACAGGCTCCACAGGGGTCACCTCTGCCGGGGGAGCGCTCTCTGTAGGGGGGACACCTGCTGATGATGTCTCTTCCTCAGCTGCAGCTCCCTGTCCCCCGCTGGGCGCTGCCTCTGCGGCTGGTTCACCATTGGCTTCCTCTTCCTGTTGGACCACAGGGGGTGCATGTGTCTCTGTCTCAGGCTTGCTGGCTTCCACCTCTGCCGATGCCTCCACTGGCTTCTCTTTTTCGTCAAGTTCCTTCACGGGCTTCTTCTCAGCTGTCTTTGGAAGTTTAGGCTTTGCCATCCTTTCCCAGTGTGTAGCAGTACTGCTGCTGAAGCCAGTAGTAGTGTGTGTGCCTCTTCTACCAGATGCCTCGCTCGTTAACCTATACCGTCTTTCTCTCTCGTGCACACATACCTTCTCCGTTCTCTATGTTGTAAGGACTACAATGCCTTCTCAGTAGCGTGAACCTCTCTGTGTTAAGCAGCTGGTCAAAGCAGAGCAGAGCGCTTCCAGGCCATTATTTATAGAGAGGGATGCCACGGATACCTTAGTAATAGGCTGTCTTACAGGCAAATGGCCATCTGGATAAAATGATGTTTCATCTCCGATCAACAAGTAGAGTACAAGATGAAAGTTTAAAAGTCAGAAGGGGCAATCAAAACCTGAGCCTCTTTACCTATTGGATGGATAAATTCCTCATCAAAAAGTTCTTAAAGCCATCAAAAATGATCTAACATTAAAAAATGAATTGCTTAATAAGCAAGAATGAACGTTTATTAAATATATTGATTCGTTATTCCTTCAGATGTTAACAGTTCAAAAAACAGTGCTCTGATTTAAGAGCATGATTATCAAAAAGAGGTCGTGTGATAAGAACAATAAAGCTTTTTAGACTCAACACGATGCTATGCTGTGAATGCTATTGGAGATATGAACGGTTCTCTGGACTGCATACACAGCATTTTAACCTTTACAGTACCTCAAGTGCCATCATTCACTCAAGCAAGCTCAAACACTGATGGTAGTGAAGCGATCATAAAAAGGTACTTAAAGGTGATCTCCACTCTTCACATAAATGTCTGCTTAGAGGTCTAGTAAAATGGTTCTGCATATGTGAGAAAAAGCTGTATAGAGCCTGTTGTGACTCCAAATGAAACTGTAAAGGTGGATCGCCTCAATTGTTGTCTATTGAGTCAACAACAGATAGGGATGAAGACATTATTATTTAAAGTTTGGAGATGTGTAGTTAGAAAAGAGTGAATGTTCCAGACCTCTGTGGCCCCTTCATTTGATGCTAGTCATTAAGATCTACATTAGCAGCTACTACTACTAGCATAACCTGTGCACTGAAAATTACCACCAGTTCAGTCAGAGGCTGCCAATGCATGGTAATGTTTGAATGACCAACCCTGCTCTACCTGAGCAGCAGCCGCTCTTCAACAAGTTAACACTGTATGACTTTGTTGTGCTTTTTCCTCAACATCTGGTCCATGTGGTGACAGACCTTTATATAAACATTCTATGTGACTGAAACACACAGCCGACAACTCAGAAATGACCTGTGGATCACGGATGTGAAACCTAGTGTATATATGTGTTACACAGACATTCCACGGACGTCTTGGATTACAACAAACCTACAGCAAACATGACCCGGTCCTCTCATGGCCGCAAATCAACCAGGCCCCATGACCAGAGTGAAACCTTAGATTGTGCGAAGCAGGCAACGTGACACAACTCAGAGTCACCAAGAGGCACGTCAACTTCATCTCCGTCTAACAATGCAGCTCTTAATCATCATCTTCATGATACTGTAGTGTGAAAGTTGTTACAAAAAATGCATTTAAAGTGTATTTTAATGTATTTATTTTAAAATAGGATCCTTCTTAGGAGATGTTGCTACCAACACTAT